GTAATACCGAGCACGGAGCTGGTAGGCGCTAAGCAAACGAGCGCAACAGTTATGAACTCTTGCGAACGAGACGCGGGAATAAGGGCGACGATGATGATGACGGCGACGACGACGAAGACGAAGACGAACGATAGGAACGCTAACGACAACGACGGATAGTACTAGTCGGTAGTTTCCGGGCACGTCAAAGGGCCTCGTGCTCATTTTCTCGGCGGAATTCGCTTATATCTTCGCCGAAACTTGGGCGAACAATCAGTACTGAGACGTAGTACGCGCAGTGTCTACGCGGCCTGATTAAAACGGCGTTCGTGAAAATCGATACGCCGTGATAATCACGAGACGTCTGACAAAACGGAGACGCGTACTCGCGTTTCGACGCGCACCTGAGGACTTTATTCTATCCGTGTTTACGACTAGAAACTAGCCATAAAATGTAATACCGTTCAATAAATAAATCTTGAATATCAATTCACGACAATATATTTGCAACTGCGATTCAACTGAATAATTTAAGAGACAATAATCTTGTAATAATAAATTCTATTTCAATGTTGGGCATTTCAAGTTTTACTTATTGTTAGATATTTCATTCTGCTTTTTGTCTGAACCGAAGCGCGATTTATGCTTAGAATATACATTATAGAATATGATTTGCCTGTCGATATTTTATAAAATTTGCATCGTAAAATGTGGCTTCGTTCGTTATCATAAAGCTTCAGCAAACTAAAGTTAGTGGGATTGCGAGAGCGGTAACGTCCGTTACAGGTTACAGATTGCAAAATCATATCTGCATTGCGAATTTAGGTCGTTTATGTAATTGTTTATAAATAAAAATTAACTTATATCAAAGTAAATTGAAATGAAATAATACAGAAATATTCAGTATTTGTATTAATTAATATTATTATTATTTGAAATGGCATGACAATGTACTATAATTTTTATTTGAATAAAAATTAAATATTCCAATTATCAGATATTATTAAAATATTAAATCTTTTTCTCTCTCTTTTTTTTATGATTTTGTATCACAGAAACTTTATCATTTATTCCCCAAACATTATTTCCAACAAATGATTTATTGACTAAATTACTCAATCAAAGATTATGTTATATAATATGAATGCAACTGTGCTACACAAATCATGAAAATCGGGAATGATATTTAGTAATATAATCGTGTATTATTGTGTATTATTAGCGAAAGTGCAAATTATTACCTAATTCTCTAACATTGCGTAATTATTGAATTAGTGTACAATTCTTGATTATCAATTTATCTCTCGTAATTAAAGGTTTCCGAAAGAATGTTATTTTTCCACCTGTTTTTCTAGCTTCTACTTCAACGCTTTTTTTGCTCGATTTTTGTAGTATAAATAATTGATCAGATCGAACTTCTGCAACAAAGTGCCGCATTGCTTCCGACTGAATTTTTCCCGATGTTTACGATCGCAGCATCGGTTATCTGCAAGTGTCCGTATCGATTACGCCAGCAGCTCATTATCTGTTTCATCAAGAGCCAGTCTCGGTAGCGGTTGACCTGACCTCTGCACGTCTACGGGGTGTCCCAGATACACACACACACACACTTCCCTTCGACGGCAGATAGATTCTTCAGCGCAAATTATTTCATATCGTTTAAAATATACATCAAATTATTATTATCAAATAAATAAATGTTTTATTTTACTTGATAATTGTTAATCTCCGTTTGCGCTCAACAATTAACTTGCAAATTCTTTAAAAACTAATTTTTAAGAATTAATAGCAAATTATTGATCTGAAAGAGACTAGCAATTATTAAAATAAGAATCAGCTAATTAAGCAATAATTTCAAATAATTGGAGCATTTTGCGTGCCGACAGTTTCCAGCAAATTAAACTCTGTCGGAAAATGAACGAGCGGGAGAAAATCAATAAATATTTGGAACGTATGTGGGATAATAGACGCGAAGCTAACTATCGTGTTTCATTAATGTTTCTTATTCCGTTAACAGACCGGAGCGCGTGCGATTCGCTCGCTCCGACCTGTCTGTCGTCGTCGCGATTACACGCCGCTTGTTAACTGTTAAGGACAGGTGGAACTGACACGCGCGCGCGCTTACGATTACCGCTTACGTTCCGACACGACGCGAGGTTCAAGATAAGAAGAAAATTTGCAAGCCTGCGACCTCTCCCGTCATCCTCCAATGCTCGCGCGGAATTTGTCGTACTGCCGGCGGCTTTCTACTTTTCCGCACCGAGCGTTTAAGGTAAATCAAATCGGATCGTTTCTTACTCGTGTCTCAATTGCGTCAGCGATTTCTACCGCATTGAACGAGCAACATTGACATTTTCAGAGTTTCAATGTAGAAAATAGTTTCTACGTATTAATCTATTTTCAGTTTAAATCTTTAGCTATATAATGTATTTAATTTCTATCAAACATTTTCCATACCTTTAAATTATGTTGATTTAATATCTGTATGAAAAAAAATATCTTTTCTGAGAAATAAAAAGATTAATTAAATATAAAATCTAAAAGTTTTAAATTTTCATTAATACTGTATGTTTTTAAAAATGTTTAATACGGATACTTAGAGTATATTAGAGATACTTGTAGATTAAATAGACATTTATTTCTTGTTTAATACGTTATTTAATATCTAATTACTTTTAAAATTGAGTAAATCTTGAAATGTCTTAATGAAAAATGCAAAATATCGCATATCAGAATATATACTTTTTCATCTACTCGTAAGAACTCTCTATAATGCAGAGATTCACGAAATAAATCGATTATTCTATTTAAGCATTAATTCTGTAATACAATCATCATCGATACAATCTACTAAAATAGATGCTTCGTATTTTTTATTTAGATGAAATAGTTAAGTTTTAAAAGGCAGTCAAGAGTATAACATATATTCCTTAATTTTTAAGAAACCTAACTTAAGAAAAGAAACCCTATAATTTAAAAGAATCTAAAGTAACGAAATCTAATAAATAAATAAACAAACTTAATAAATTAAAAAAGCAAAACAGAAATGCACGATTGTAAATTCAGAGTTACTCGCGAGGATCTTACGAGCGCGGTTCTCAAGGGAGAAACACAACACCCTGCTCGTCACGTTCGTCACGTTCAGCGCGATAAATAGACCGCGGAAGGTCGTCATGCGAATCAAACGGTAGAGTCATCCGGCAACGGTCCATGCAGCTACTATACGATAAAGTGAGGGCCAGTGGTCTCGTCAACGCCGAGATCGCGCGGAGAGGTGGAAGCGCATTGAACCGCCGTCGGCGGCAAATTGGACCACCTTCAAAAACTCATCGCTCGTTACGCACCGACGCGACGCGACGCGACGTCGACGGGAGCGACGGCGCGCGTTACTAATCGGCGATTACGAAGCGCTCGCGTGCGAATATGAAGAAGGCGCTTACTGTGATACACACGGTCCAAGCCGACGCGACGCGACGCGTCGCGGATTCGCAACTTACGTGGCAGTTTAAATATAAGCGCGACGCCGTGCGTCCCGACAATCGCGCTCGAGGAGCGCCTCTTTTCCACGTAGGCGTCGTAGTCATGGCGAGATAATCCGACGCTTGGACACTTCACACGCCAGCGATTACGACGTCCTTGAAATTCGCGGAAGCGGAGGGATTACCGGTAGAAGTGTTTCTCTCGTACGTCAGCTTTCACGAAGCTTCCTTTATGACATCAACGTTTTTCGAGGGAACTGAAAACTCGCGAGAATTATGAATTTTATAAAACAATATATTACAGCATTATCGGATTTTCAATAAGAGCTAAAATTTTATCAAGAGTTTTATTGAAGCTTCTTGATCAAAAAATCTAAAAGCGAGAAGCGCGTTATAAATTCTACGATTTTAATATCATATAGGTCTCAATTTCGTCTATTATAAATTATCAATGGTTTCAATATCAATTAAAATTGTATTAAATCATGAATATTGCACGCAACTGCAGGAAATTAAAACGTAGCAATTCCGCGGGGATCATCACATTGATCGTAAAAGTTATTCGAATTGAAAATAAATTCCGCTAAATTTCTATACAATTTTTATTTTTTTCGGCGTAAGTTCACGTTTTAATTATCAATTGAAACATGTTCTGCAAATTAGTGAATGTCATTACCTAATTTCTGCGCGGAATACGCCCGTACATATCGCAGTCCGGCTATATCACGTGCGAATTAAAATATTTACGTGCGTTTATACAAGTTAGTTGCCATATTGCCGGGCTATCTGCAAAAGGGAAATATGTACATACGTTGGGGAGCGTCCCTCTCGTATTAACAATATTGCCATGCTATATCCCGGAGCTGATCGAGAATTCTACATCGACGACACGTTTCAAAAAACTATCAGTCGTTCGGCAGAGTGCACTGAGCTCGATCGTGCCCTCGAGTCATCACAAATCGATCGAAGCGGTCGCTCTGCGACGAACAATTATTGGATAAATGAGAAATCCCGCGGTGTACTCCTGTTTAGTCAAACTCAAACGCCCTTAGGGACGTCAGTTCTTTTGCTTATAAATGTATAGCGATCTCGCTTATTGGTGCATTTCGCGGATCGATACATGTTGTAGGCTATCGAAAGACGTCGGAAATAATTTCTCCTTACGTTTGAACGCAAAATGGCGAACATTTTTCTCGTAGATTTCAAAATTAGATATTTTAGTAGTTAAGCTATTGTAGCTTAGATATCCTGGCAGCCAAGCTAAATTATATGATTCGACTGAAGTGAAAAATTGGAGATTTATCAAATAAGATTTGATTATCTCATTACATTATTAATTAACTTTTGCATTGATTATAACTAAAGCGTCATCGATATCTTTGCGTTTTTGTTAAGGAAAAATTCTTTCAGTCTTTGATAGAAATGTTGCACCGTATATGATAATAAATCTTTTATAATTCTTCGATTATCACTTTTTATCGGCAAACGACCGACTGACTATCTCAATCGAGAAAGATAGATAATATAATTTCTGTGACTCACCGTAATCAGGCCGAACGACAGCCTGCACGGCCTGTTCGTTCTTCTTGCTTCGGATCACCGGCTCGCCGAGGATCGTGAAGTTCCTGGGTCCCACGCGATTCACAAACACTAAATACACTTTGCCCCTTTTAATATTGGCTCGCACCACACCACTCGGATTATCGCGCTGTTGCTGCTGTTGCTGCTGCTGCTGCTGCTTGTTGCCGCCCTTGCCGCCGTTCTCGTGGCCGTTGCACACGGTCGACTTGCCGGGCGCCAATTTGTCACGAAAGTGCAGTCGCACGCTGTCGTTCTTCTGCAGCGGCTGGAAGCCCGGTTGGCTCTTGTAAACCTGCTTTACCTCGAAGGTCACCGCGTAGTTCGAGCCGGGCTTCCTCAGCGAGGACATGCTACGAGCTTTACCCTCGAATACAGTGGGCGCCAGGAAGGCTCGATTGCCCACGTCGACGGCGGGGCACCAGTTCTGACCGCGGCAGCCTTTTTCCTTGTTCTTGCATCGGCGTCGCTGCTCGCGCGGCGAGTCCGCCTTGGTGCGGTTCTTTGGTCGTTGCTTCGTTGATCTGACGATTCGCGGCCGCTCCATCGACGATTCCGTCGGCGCCGGTGCCACCGCCGGCGGATACGTAAGAGGTGTTTGCGACGAGGAGTGATGAGGCGCGCGAGTCAGACCGGACTCGTTCATCTCTGGGTGAAGGACGCGGGCGTTTTCCGCCGCCTCGACGGCAGAAAGGATATTCTTCGCGAACCCCTCCATTTTCGGCAGACTCGATGTGATCGATCGAGTCCCGAAATTCTTCTCGGGCGACGCTCCGCCGTGGAAGTATTGCAAGATCCGTCGCGCGTCATTCTGCAGCGGATGTTCTCTTCCGGTGGAAAGATCTTGCACCTGGTTCACCGAGCTTGGATCAACCAGCAGAACTTTGTCAAGGTCGCGACGCGCGGGATGCCCCCCAACTTCTCCTCGTGATTGATAATCCTCGCCAAGGACTCGGTCCACGCTCAGCGATCGTGGACGATAATACCTCGTCTCGATGATGCCCGTGGCCGCCCTGGATGTCTCCCCGAGGGTGTCCCGAATGGCGGGGGGTGCCGCAGCGAGCGCCAGTGCGCCCCACCAGCCGCTTAAGAACCCGGCCAAAAGCAGAGGCGCCCACATCATCCAACCTGGTTAAGCGGTGTGATCGGGGGTGAGGTCGACACCTCGGTCACCCCGACTCGCACAGAGGCACGTGCTTCTCGCCCCCTCCTCCTCCTCGAGCTCGCAGAGCGAGCCCCTTTCGTTGCCGCGAATACTCGCGAGTCTTACGTCAACGTAAAGTTCACTATGCCCGATAACTCTTATCTCACGGTCACTTGTGAATCGAGGCGCGACTCGACTCCGCGACTCCGTCCCCACCTCGTCGAATAGCCAAATCGCTTCTTTATCAGCTTCCTCTTCCGAATCCTCACGAGATGTTGTACCACCGGTAATGGAACGTCGGGGCTTCTTCCACATTTGTCTTCATCCTACGCGACACCATGCTCTTCATCCTTGAAGCCGGCGGAGGCAGTCGTGGCGAACCGCACCATGCGGCCCGCTTCTGTCTCTCTTCCTGTCCCTGCGTCTCTCTCTCTCTTCGTCTCTTTTTCGGAAGAGTGTTGTATTATCGCAAATGATCCCGTCCGGCGGCTGCGACGATCGCGGACGCAACAACCAGCATCGATCTCTCACAGATCCTGATCATTATGATTCGCGATCGGCACGATCATTCTGATCCGACTTGAGCCTCGTTAATTGTTCTACCGCGAATTCCGAGTCCTTTCACGATTCCGAACGAGGGAGACTTTGATTCTTGATAATCGATGAACTAAAGAGCCGGCCGAATGATGAGTAGCAGTAGGCTTCTAATCCACGTGTTCGCTCGCGTTCGCAGACAGACAGAACTGATCGACTTCGCAGCAGGGAATATCCGCGACCGTCAAGAGCGCCGATCCCCACCGATCCGTCAGTAACATCGAGCCGAGCGGGATTCCGCGAGTGATTATCTCGTCACCCCCTCGCGCTGTCCGAGCCTCCTTATCGCGTTGCACTTCAAAAACAACAGAGAGAAAGAGAGAGCAAGAGAGAGAGAGAGAGACAGGGAGGGAGTCAAGCCGCGGACTTCGAAATGTTGAAAACGAAAGCAGAAATACGAAACAGACGGCAGTGGCGGTAACGACGACGAAGACGAAGAACACGACGACGACGAAGGAAGCGTCGGCTTCCTCTCTGACCAGCCGAGACACTATTTAAATATACCCACGAGACGACGCGCCCGCTACTCTCTCAACTCTGCGGCCGCCCGTCCGCTCGCTCGTGTGCGCACTACACTCTTTTCGGTCGCTTGCTTACCACTCTCTCGTCGTGCGCATTACGCTACGCACGGTTTTCGCTTTTCTAGCGGGCCATCCTCTCAGATCCGCGCGACAAAGGAGAGCCGAGAGAGGAGTGACGAGTCGGGGAAAGGAGACGGCGTGTAATTTGTACTCGCTGTCATCCGCGCGTTACTTCTTCTTTTCTCCCCCTGCTCTATTTTTCGAAACTTTCTCTCTCTTTTCTTTTCTTTTTTTTTTTTTATCTCCCTTTCTCTCGCGCGCGTACGCTGGGAACCGTCTCCTCTCGCGAGGATGGTCGCGCGGTCCCGGACGAGATTTCCACGACGGGGGATAAAGTCGCGTGTGTCGCACGCGGCATGCACACACGAGGCGGCTCGCGTGTCACGCGTGTCGCGAGAGCCAGAGGAAGGGAGATCGTCGGTGGCCCCGCGTGTCGGGCGCGCGCGACGGTTCAAATTAGACTGAGCGACCCGCTCGCACAGAACCGAGGCCGGCCACAGCGTCAGCGGCTCCTGGTGGATGCCGGTCGAGGCTTTTGCGCGCACCGCAACCGCGCCGAAGTGAGACGGAGCGACGACGGGACCTTTAAGAACCTGTATAACAACGACCTAACAACCGAAGGAACCGCACGCGTGATCCTCACGGTCCTCCTCTGCACCCCGCTCTCACGCTCGCTCTTTCCCCTCTATCTCTGTCGCTCTGTCGTTCGCCGCTTCGTGAGTTCCCTCGATGGTTCTCTCTGTCCTTCGCACTGTCCTCTCTTTCTGTCCTCTCTTTCTCTTTCTCTCTCTCTCTCTCTCTCTCTCTCTCTCTCTCTCTCTCTCTCTCTCTCTCTCTCTCTCTCTCTCTCTCTCCTTCTTCGCTCCGTCTCGTCTCTCTCTCTCTCTCTCTCGTCTCTCTCTCTCTCTCTCTCTCTCTCTCTCTCTCTCTCTCTCTCTCTCTCTCTCTCTCTCTCTCTCTCTCTCCTCCTCTCTCTCTCTCTCTCTCTCTCTCTCTTCTTCTCTCTCTCTCTCTTGCCCCGCTGTCCGCCGTTCTTCTCTGGCGAGAGACGGCGCTTCTTTATCCTCTCGGCGGTTCGGTCGTACCTCCCTCCGTCTTTGGGTAACCGGGCTTGGTTTCCGTCATTTACTTTTTAAATTTGTATTCGGAGTTGCCCTCTTCTTCTTCTTCTTCTTCTTCTTCTTCATCATCTTTCTCCTCCGCCTCGGGTTCTTTTCTCTCTTCTTCTTTTGCGCCGTCGTCTTCATCTTCTCCTCTTTCGCGCCGGGACGCGCTCCTCTTCGTTTGCGCGAGAGCTGGTGAACGTCATCGGACTACCGAAAATAAAGTCTTCCTCCCCGCTTCCCTGTCCTCTCGTCTCACTCCCTCTCTTCACGCCACTTCCGAGTCGAATATACGCGCGAGCGAAGAGGCTTTATAAGTGCGAGCGCGAGAGGGACGCGTACCGAGACGAACTCTATCTTCCTTCCCATCTCTTTCTTTCTCTCCTTCTGTCTGTCTCGGGAACTGCCAATCAAACGGTCCTCCATGAAAGTCGGCTTCTTAAACGGATAGTTTTTCACGCTCGCCGCGTGACAGATTAATCCTGGGCTAAATGGCGACACTTAAGCGCGCCGCGCGCCGTAATTAACGCCGCAGCGACTCTCGTCTTCTTTTTGCACTTTTCCGCGCGCGAGCTCTGCGCGCTCTCGGATCTACCGAATTCAAACGATCTGTCGTTACGACGGTGATTTACTGCAGCCCATCAAACGCGCAGCCGTTGCACCGTAAATAACACATATACTCATTTAACAGTTAAAAGGATTACATTGATTTCGATCAATTTCAGGAATCTTGTAATTTACTCTAATAATTTAATGAATTCCTTTAAGGTAGGAAGAGCTTTTAAGCGTCTTTACGCTACTCTGATTTAACTGCAAAGCAATGTAATTATTCCGCATAGCTAGACACGATATTTTACGCCATATGCTTAAGACATGCAACAATGCTCCGCGAGTACCTTTACGAAACAATTTCGAGCGTAAAGTTCCTGCCCTTTTTTTTCATACGCGTATGACATACAATTATCGGAAGTTCGATTTACTTCATCTATATAGAAATATTTGAAACGCTTTCAACTAATCAATGGTTTAATGTTATAGAATTTTGTTAAAACGTCACTACCGCACAGACTGACATTTTTTTCGACATAAATACAAATACAGTCACGGTGTAATTGGGTACCGTTGACATACATGTTAAATGGCCTCGGATAACAAATGATTGCGCGTGATTTATTTCGGCAGATTTAGTTTTATCGTTCGATATTTATCTTTCATCATGTCAATTTCTTGTATTTTCTCCGACAAGATTGATATCGTTTTTTGCAACTTTAGTTTTGCCATTAACCATGAATTGTTTCCAACGATTTATGTAGCAATTGTTTCTCTAGCAAATAGAAATAACTTGTTTTATATATATATTTGTAATGTATATATCGCTCGCTCATGTTAGTAAAAGAAAATATATTTCTTGTGTTACATTTTTTGAGAAAATAGATTACATTCGATATAAAACTGATAGTATAAACGATAAATAATATATAAATAAATAAAAATTTATACATTATTTATTCTATTTATTAATATATGTATGTATAATATATATAATAAATTTATTTACATAAAATATAAATTTATATAATTTTATCATTATTATGTATCATCGAAACAACAGTATTCCTGCTAAAAAAAAACTTATTAAAAAATAAAAATGCTTTTAAATATATTTAATGCACTTTTCGTGTATTGTAATATTATTTGACCTAGTTTTCTTAATAGACAATGAGTCTGCGCTACATAATTTATAAATGGCGATGTTCGAGTGTCGTTATAAGAGATTTCTCATTCAGCAATAAATAATAGCGATGAATATTGAGATACTAGATTATTGTATGATATATTGTAGTACGTCGTTTAAGAATAATAACATAAATAACTAAATAATATCGAAATATCGGCTTTTTCGTTATGGATGACAATATTTCTTTGCACGATTCTTCCGCGCTTTCGAGCTGACGCGTACTGTGATCCGATGATTACAAACGGAATGTTTGCGCGGAGGGTGGTTAAAGTGCGTTTGATGTCCGCGTGCGTGAGTCGGTCAAAATCGTAATCGAAATTCGATTCAGTCCTGCGAAGCGTGAGGCATCCGCTAAGCGTGCGATCGTTGACCGATCGATTACGATCGATCGGCAAGGTGCAATGCAAGCGAGGCGCGCAGTCGATCGGCAACGCTTTGCCGAATATCGGATTGCTCGTGGACAGAGCTAAAGAGCAGCCAGCTATACGCAAATACGCAAAACGCATGCGATCATCCCGCCCGTTGGTTTGGGTGATGCACCGACTTTGGGGATGGCCTATTGTTTCGAGTGCGACCTTCTGTAATCACTACGTCCGTTTTAGCGCGCGGGCTTTTGTATTATTACCACAACAACATTCCACCCTTACCCCGAAAATTTTCGATCACGATGAATGTTAAAGGAGCGAATGCATGCTAAATTCGCATCCATCAATTTTATTATTATAATATATGTACCCTTATTCATGTGATATACAGAGATATTTATATTTTAGAATCACGATATTTGAACAATTCTTTTGAACTCGATAATAAAAAGTTTCAAATGTAATTTCAAATGTAATGGAAATTCATGAATTAAATATTTATATATTATATGTTATAAAGGTAATTAAGATTATATATAATTAATTTTGATTCGACATTCCTGTTAAATATTCCTCTTTTCCATTTTTTAAACTCTATTTATAAAACCGTATGTAATCTGTATACCATCGTGCTCTTGAATTATCAAAATATTTAATAAATTATTCAATTATTTCAGATGTGTTTTGTCAATTACGGCTGATATTAAAAAATATTCTAATACTTTATTCGAGACAGTTTGCGTGATGTTTTATCAACGTACGAAAAAATGTAGACGATAAGCGGAGCGAGTTTTGTAACAGAATTCTAGCATATTCCGCGTGTAAACCGTAAGGTAGATTTTTATCGTAGATACCAGTTACGTTTTTGCAGTCAATAGGCCAATAAAGGTTTCTTCGATCGGACAAGTTTCTATGGCAATGAAGGGCGCGAGTTTTGTCGGGATAAAGCCTCTCCATTCTGCCAATGCAGAACCATGCCGACCATCTGTCCATGCAGTAACCCTTTTGCGGTCGAGGCAGACTTTACATAGTGGTTTACGACAATCGTATATACATTTTCTTGAATCCTTGAAACGATGAATGACTTAATTTGTAAACTTGTATCTTTTTTTTCAACATTTTCTTTTATGAAAATACAAAGTACCTTTATGAAAGCGGAAATAGAGTTCTCTTAAGTAGCGCTGGTAACGCGTTGCTAACGCTTTGGTAACGTGTGTGCGTGTGCAAAGGAATAATAAAATACCTTATATCGATTCTTCACAATTATTTCAGACTTTAGAAGTTAATGTTCCATAGAATATTCCAAAAGTCACGTATTTTCTTGGTATGGCAGAGAACTAAAAAGAACTTATTTTCTCATTTTTTGTAAGAAAAAGATATTTTTACATTAAGCACTAATAAAGAATTTTGACTTAAAAGCTAAAAAACCAAACGTTTCTATACTTTTTCACTAAAAATTTCAACAAAATTTTAAATTTAGATCTCGATTTGAAAAATACTTTGTAAAATAGAAGAATTGTGACTAAACAAGAAACCAATAACTCAAATTTTATGCTTTCATCGTTGACATATGCAATTAATGTATTCCGTCTGCATCGTAAATTTTGAATCCTCAAAGTGATGCTTATCGTCGTAAAAAAAATAAAAAAGTAGAAAACCAAACATTTTTATACTTTTTCACTAAAAATTTCAACAAAATTTTAAATTTCGATCTCGATTTGAAAAATACTTTGTAAAATAGAAGAATTGTGACAAACTAAACAAAAAACCAATTACTTAAATTTTTGTTTGTTAGGAAATGAGTTGTGTATTTAAAATAGCCTAAAATAACTGATCGTAATTTGCAGAAAATCCACGAGCAACCGTGTCGCTTTTCGTAATATGCCGTATAAATGATCAGCTATCGCGCGTCTATAGAAATGCAGCTTTGCTTGCAACATGAAAATACATTTGCGGATGCGACTGCGGCGGGAGCTCTTTCACTAACAGCAGTAGCGAATGAGCGACGCATCGGGCGAACGTGTCCGGAGGACACACAGAGATTCGATTCTATTCGAGAACACTTCGTGAAACGCGAAAGGGAGACACGGAGGAGCGCATTTCCCGTTGACTTGTTATAAAAGTATCGGGAAGATGCATGGTGATACGTAAGATATACCTCTCTCGAGATTCTCCACGCGGGGAAAACATGAATAAAAATGGTGCGATGCATACTCGGAAGCCGTAAGTGTCT